CTCGGTTCCATCCGCCGTGGACACTTTAGAAGTAAACTAGCAGATAGAAAAATATTTCTATCTTTCTTTTCTTCTCTCTGAAAATCTGCCCTTCCAATGATAATAAATGAATATTGTTTTAAAAATTTATTTATTTTTATTGGAAAGTCAGATCCACAGAGAGAGTGAAAGATCTTCCATCTGTTAATCCACTCTCCAAGTAGCCTCAACAGCCAGAGCTGAGCCAATCTCAGGCCAGGAACAGGTGCTTCTTCTGGGTCTCCTACGCAGGTGCAGGGGCCCAAGGCTTTGGCCAGTCCTCAACTGCTTTCCCAGGCTACAAGCAAGGAGCTGGATGGAAACTGGAACAGCTGGGATACGAGATACAAACCACTGTCCATATGGGATCCTGGCACATTTAAGGCAAGGACTTTAGTCACTAGGCTTCATGCTGGGCCCTAAATGAACCTTTAAAAAGTAAAAATAAATAAACAGTAAGTCACATAGTCTGTAAACCCCAATTTTTCATTCACTGGAAGCACACGGAATATGCAACATATTTATAAGTATGTCTAATAACAACGAGTTGCATTACAGCATTAGAATTATAATCCTAGTAAACTCAATGGAATCAACATATCTTAATCACATGCCTTTTGCCCTTCAGAAACTTAAAATTAATTAAAGGAAACACATGTATATATGCAAATAACTCACAGATGTGCATACATAAATAATTCCAAGGCAAGGCCTTGCGTGGCTTAATGATGTGCGTAACTTCTCTGGATCCCAGGAAAAACTTCAAAAACAACTGATATATACCTGTTGTCAAGGCAAAATTTTAAAAGTCACCTCTAAAGAAACAAACTACATTCCCTAAGCTCCAAATATTTAAGCGTGGGTACTTATTTTAACAGATTTTTTAAAAAGACAGCTTGAACATGCTTAATTAAGAACATATTTATTCTTGTGTCATGTCCAGGTCTTAAAACCTTGAATCTTGTTTTCTAATCTAAAGCTACTAAAAGAAAAACCAGAGGTGAGATTTATTAATAAAACCAAAGGACAGGCCTGGCACAGTAGCCTAGCAGCTGAAGTCCTCACCTCGCACATTCCAGGATCCCATACAGGTACGAGTTCTAATCCTGGCTGCCCTGCTTTCCATTCAGCTCCCTGCTTGTGTCCTGGGAAAGTAGTCAAGCATGGCCCAAAACCTTGGGACCCTGCATACCCATGTGGGAGACGCAGAGTTCCAGGCTCCTGGATTCTGCTCAGTGCAGCTCTGACCATTATGGCCACTTCAGGAGTGAATTAGCAGATAAATGACCTTCCTCTCTCTCCTTTGCTCTATATATCTGGCTTTCCAATAAAAATAAATAAATCTCTTTTTAAAAACGGTACTGTAAAAATGCACCACCGAATTATTTAGTAAAGAATGTAGGAATCTAGAAAAACAGATCATTGTTTTTACAGAGAAATGGCAGTTTGCTTATTATATAAAGAAGCATAGCATAAGCATTTGATAACTAAAAGTATCTCAAAAAACAGACACAATGGGCTCAGCACAGCGGCCAAATGGCTCAAATATGGCTAAATGCAATGATTCAGTGGCTTAATCCTCGCCTTGTAAGCACCAAGATCCCAAAGGGTGCTATTGTCCCAGCTGCTCCACCTCCCATCCAGTTCCTTGCTTGTGGCCTGGGAAAGCAGTGAAGGTTGGCTCAAAGCCTTGGAACCCTGCACCTACATGGGAGACCCGGAAGCAGCTCCTGGCTCCTGGCTTCATATTAGCTTAGCTCGGACTGTTGCATCCACTTGCGGAGTGAACTAATGGTTAGAAAATCTTTGCCTTTCCTCCTCTCTGAAAATCTAACTTTCCAAGAAAAATAAATAAATAAATCACTCAAAATAGGATTCAGTAAAAGCACAAAACAAGTCAGTTATAGACGGGCATTACATACAACGAAAATTATATTCCAAGTCAGTAGAGAAATCTGGCATGCTCAATTGTTGGAAAAATTCCAATTTGCTCCACCTATGCCCAGGTTAGCTAAATGCGGCTATAAAAGCACTAACAGTAATTTTCTATCTTCCTACTTTGAATCACAAAACCAGGCAAGTGCTGACCAGAGTTAACCCAAAATATTCTGCCTTTAAGGAGGTAGTGCACAAGGCGGCCTCCTGGGAGAACAAATTCAGAGTCCATTAGAAGCCAGATGACTTCCCGAATCCATTACAAAAAACTTAGCCATTAGAGTTTAAGATCTAAATGGCCTATTTCATTCTTCTGGGAGAGTATCTGTGTGGAACAAAGTTTGTGATGCAACATTTAAGAACAGCATGGACTGCACATAATGTTCCTGTCCCAATTAAAATTTTTCACTGAGGGTTGCACCTTTCGGCAAGGAAGTGGATCAGTCAATACAAGAGATCACTGGCCACATGAACCAAAAGGTTTTTTACGAGTATTCAGTATTAACCTTTAAGGCACTTGGAAGAACTGGCACAGACTAACGCCCCAGAGAAAAGGATAAAAGCACGCTGAACAGCCTTTTCTGGGACATCACAGGAAATTCAGTCACAGGAAAATTAAATTCTGTTAAATTCATTTTTGCATAGGGATATGAAATTGACAAATCTGTTCATCTTCCAGCACTATCATTTGAAACTTTTCTCTTAAAAGATGTTGTTAATAAGCCTAAAATGCCCAGTATTGTGAACCAAGACATAGTTTTACACAGACACACACACATATATGTATGAGTATATACATGGCTTCATATATGCACATATAGCATTGTAAATAGCATATATATTGTATTATATATATGGTTATATGTATTATATATACAGTATTCTAATATTTCCATGGCTGTGTAACCTGCTCCTATCATAGCTAATGTTTCCAACAATATCAATATGGTAACTAAAACCCCAATGTTGAAATGGCAACTTTGAAAATGCTTTCACTTACATGGAGTTCCTTTGTATCCAACCAGTATTTATTTATTTATGTAGGTACATAAGAGTTTAGACTGCATAAGAAGTCTGCCCTTCAGTGGTTACTTACACAGCTAAGTTTTTAACTGTGAGGTTCATGCTTGGTCCAGGCAGATCAAAAGGACTTTTTTATTCTGCATGTGCTGTTGGAAGTTACTGTTCCTCAAGAATTTGGCTCTAGAATACTCTAGCCTTAATGAATTTTCTCTGGCCACCTAGTTTTGTCATTCGGCTTTGTTTGAATCCAGCCAAGCAATCTGTGAATGAAAATGGCCTCATGCAATTGGAATTGTGTAGAGACTTAGTTCCTTGGTGCTTGTTTCTTTATCCATAATGGGCATTCAATAATATATTAGCACAGTCTCAAGTACAGTGTGGTAATTGCTACACTCTGCTTTGGCAACTTCAACTTGCTGCATGTTTCTTAATATTTAAACCTAATCTAAATAAATCATAGTGCATTATCAACCTGACTTGTAAACCACCTTAGAGGTTTTTACAGGCCATTCTTCAAGATAGAAAAAAACCACAAAATTGGCCTTTTAAAGACTTCTTTATATTTTTAATAAAAAGTCTTCTTTTTAAATAAATATAAAAATGTGACCAGTTACAGACCTTATCCTTTAGTGCAAGAAGCAGTTAAGAAGAAAGCACAAAAAAAAAAAAGAAGAAGAAAGCACAATATCAGAGGACTAATTACCAATTTGTTGATCTATTTCCTTACAAGAATTTTTGTGGATGAGCAATGTGTCACAGCAATTTAAGCTGCTGCCTGATACACCCACATGCTCCAGTCCTGGCTGCTCCATTCCGTAACCAGCTTCTTGTTAATGCACCTAAATGGCAGCCGGTCAACACCAGAGGATCTTGGATCCTGTCACCTCTGCTGGAGTTCAAGATGGAGTTTTAGGCTCTTGTCTTTTCCCAGGCCCAGCCAGCACTGGCCAACATGACCATTCGGAAAGTGAACCCAGCAAATGAAATTTCCCCGTTAACTGTGTCTTTCAGATAAATATCTTATCCCAAGACTAAATGTTTGATGACTAAGTCTCTTTCACTTCTGGCTTCTATATCTACCCCAGATAATTCTGTGCTGTATGTGTGTGTGAATGCTTGTGTCATGGACTTCCATTAATAAGACACTGTGAGACCCAGAAGCAATAGGTAAGTATAACCAGAGAAGGTGAGGAAGCAAGGTCCTCCCACTCCGACCAGAGTCCGATCCTGCACATCCTCCATGGCGCCCTCCTCCCCCAGGCCCCAGGGCAGCACAAGTAGGACCACCGTGACCACAGAGCGAAACCAGAGTGGGGCTTTCAGATGCCCACATATGTCTCGCTGTACCTAAAGGCTCTCTGAGGAGAGTTCACAAGGGGACTTGACCAGAGCGGGGCTACCTCATGCTGACATGAGCCAGACTGCCTCCTCTACCTAGAAAGTTCTCGGAGGCCAGAGTCCGAGGGGGTGGGCCAACTTGGCTTGTCTGTCACAGTAGCCCGGCCCGAGCTTTGACTCGTTTCCAGCACCGGCACTTCCCTCAGGGGCTGACGCCGACGACAGCATGGCAGACCACACCCAGAAGAAGCCAACTAGCAAACTGTGGCCTCCGGGGGAGGCGGCCGCTCGGGCGGGAAGTGTCCGGGGCCATAGTTCAGCCTCCACACAGGGAGTGGCAAGGGTGAGGCACTGCCCCCTCAAAAAGCTACCACCGAACTAGCGGACTGAGGGAGCGGGCGCTCCCGCCCACCCGCGACTGTCTCTGCATCAAGGGTTCCCGACCCAGGAACCTCCTCAGTCAGAGGCGGGGGTGCAAGGAGCCCCGGCACCAGCGGCCGCCTCAGCCCCGACCTCCGGGCTCCTCGGCTCCGGCGCAGCGACGACGGGGCGGAGCCGGCCCTCCGCCGGAAGGGCCTTCCTAGGCTTCCGATTCCGGGTCCGCGGAGGAGGAGGAGGAGGAGAGGGAGGAGGGCCGCCGGCGGGAGGCGGGGCTGGCGGCCCGCCGCGACTTTCGGAGCCGGACCATGGCCTGGCGCTGGTGGCGGTGGCTGCGTGGGTGCTCGTGGGGACCGGCGGCGCGGGGCTCGGGGACCGGCAGCCGTGGCGGCGTGGGGCCGCGTGGGTCGCGCGCCCCCTTGGACGGCCGCGCGCAGGTGAGGTCGGGAGGCGGGCGCCTGAGGAGGCCGTAGAGGTCACGGCGACAATGACAGCCGCGCGCGCTGGAATGAATGGGAGCGGGGAGCACGTGCGCCGGGGTGGAGGGGGACGCCTGGGGGGCCTGGAGCCCCGCGGGGTGGGGTCGGGATCGCGCGTGGGGTGGGATGCACCCGTGCCTGGATTAGGGCGCGCCCCGTGGGACCGCAGGGAGCATGGTGGTGGAAGGGACCGGGGGAGAAAGCGGTGGACTCAGGTGTGGTCAGGACGTCCCCGACAGTGGACAGGTGAAGGCGGGAAGCAATCTGCAGATTGGGAGTCGCCCCCCCCGGGACAGGTATTGGACAGGTCTACCCCACGCCCTTGGGCTCCCCAAAATTGGAAAGAGGCAGATTGGCCTGGAATAGTTGGGGCGGGGGAAGGTTGTGCGGAGAAGGCTGGTGCTGGGGATGGGGCCGGACTTGAGGCATACCTATGGCATGGGATGGGGCTGGGAGGGCACTGGAAGGAGACAGGGCGGAGGAGAGAAATCCTGGGGTCATTTTGAAAGTCGTCCAGCAGCTTCCAGAGTCTCAGCGGGAACCCAGCCCGATCTGACTCCCTGTCCCTACAGTGGATAGCCACCGGACCATTCCGCGGTGTTTCCAGTCAGTGTGTTCTTCGGGTTAGGACCGCACGGTGAAGTAACTGAGCAAAACCCAGGGACCCCCTGTCGGCCTGAGCTGGCCATACTGCGGGTGTCCGCTGTCTGCAAATCCCCGCATCCCCCGCCCTTTCCACGTTTACTTTAAGACTCTTGAGTTTCCCTGGAATTTGGTGCACTTCCAAAACCTGTGTCCTCATCTGACCCCTTCCACCAGGATGAAATGTATCGCATTTCTAGAAGTCTGCTATGTACCCAAATGGATGCACATTGCAGGTGAACATTCGGAAAAGGAATGGCAGTTCAGCTAGTCTTAATAATAATAATAACAGGAAGAAAGTGTATGGGTGGGGAACCGCATGGGCAAAGGTCTTAGAGGAGGGAAGCGCTGCTGGAATTCCCTTGGGTATTGTACTGGGCAGACTTCAGGTTTTTCTAGTTGCACCACTGTGGGCATTTTGTGCACATGGGCGGGTCCTCCATCTGGTGCCGCTCCTGCTACCCAAGTCTTCACTTTTCGCTCCCCTTTTCCGGATTCCATGCCCTGCCCAAAACCTCAGTGGAGAGAGGTGTTTTCCTGGACAGAGTGCTTGATCTGTGGGTTCCCCTCCATCCCCTGCCGCCTCCATCCTGGTGGTCGATAGCTGTATTTCTGACTCGTGTGTCTGGTCTTATTTATTTATTTATTTTGCTATGAATTTGTTGGTATTCTGGTGCCTGCCTCAAGCGTATTTCAGTTACCTCAGTCTCGGCACAGTAGTCCTGTGCAGTCCAAGGGACAAAGAGCAGTGATAGTTAAGGCGCGTTGGGTTCTCTGACACAGTTCTGCTGCATCCTGATTTCTGTGAGCTAGAGCTTCAGTTTGTGGAACTAGAGGGTTCTGAGATACATTTACTTTGGTGACAAGAATCTTGAATCCCATGTATAGGTTTTCATAAAACATACTTTCCTTGATCTTTTTAGAAATCCCTCCTGTTCAACTCCTAGGTTTAACGGGTCTTGTAACAGAAAAAAATCAGTGCTCATTTGATTATATCAAGTCACTTGTCAGTAAGTCTTTGATTTTTTTTTTACCTGGCCTCTTCTTAGAGGTCCACTCCTGAGAGGCAAGGTCAAGTGGGTGGTGGGAAGATAGGAAACAAAACTGGGAAGGAAAGGTGGTTGTTGCTACTGTTAGTGCAGTCCTCCTTTCACAACTTGCGCAGAATCCCTCCCTGACTGCTCTAACCTCTGAAAAACACTGCCCCAGGGTACTGGCAGAGAAGATTGATTGAAGAGATAACTGTGTTAAATGTATCCAGTGTCTGGGCTCGGAGCCAGAGCTTTAGATACACTGTTACTCCAAATTAGCAGTATCTCTCAAGAGCAGATCTTATCACCAAGGTGTCACAACACAGCCACTCTGTCCTTTAACCACTGTGCTATTAACAGCTGCTATTACTGCCTGATAATGAAGAACACCTCCTGTGAATTAGCCTATGATTTTAGCCTTTTACCCAGATTACAGCAACAGCATTAGAACTCAACCTCAGTCATTGCTATTCTTTTTTTTTTTAAGATTTATTTATTTATTGGAAAGTCAGATATACAGAGAGGAGGAGAGACAGAGAGGAAGATCTTCTGTCGGATGATTCACTCCCCAAGTGAGCACAACGACCGATGCTATGCCGATCCGAACCCAGAATCCAGGAACTTCTTCCTGGTATCCCGCGTGGGTGCAGGGTCCCAAAGCTTTGGGCCGTCCTCAACTGCTTTCCCGGGCCACAAGCAGGGAGCTGGATGGGAAGTGGAGCTGCCAGAATTAAAACTGGCGCCCATATGGGATCGCAGCACGTTCAAGGCGAGGACTTTAGCTGCTAGGCCATGCCGCCGGACCCCATTGCTACATTCTGTTCAGAAGTTTTTACGTGTAAGTATTGTAAAATACTAAATTTATATGAACTCATTGCCAACAAAGGCTGAAAGAAGTAGGTTTTGTTTGTTTGTTTTTTTTTAAGATGTATTTATTGTTTTGAAAGCCGGAGTTGCAGAGAAAGACAGAGACCAAGACCAAGAGATCTTCCATCTGCTGCTTCATTGCCTAAATGATCAAAACGGCCAGCGCTGGGCTGCTCTGAAGCCAGAAGCTGCTTCTAGATCTCCCATAAAGGCGGGAGGGCCCCAAGCACTTGAGCCATCCTCTGCTGCTTTCCTAGGTGCACTAACAGAGAGCCGGATGGGAAGCGGAGCAGCTGGGACTGGAATGGACAACCATGTTGGCCCCTTGCACTATAGTTGGCAGCTTTTTCCTCTATGCCCACGCAGATTGTCGTATGATGGTAAAATCAAACAGGAGGATTATGACTTGTTTCCCTAGGACATTGCAATTACTTCCATGTCATAAATGTTATAAAACAACACTTCCTATCATTTTTGATATGTCTAAAGCAATGCTGTCTCATTAGAGAAAAATAAAAACAGATATCCCCCCAATAAGGAGTGAAAACATTTACATTCCTGTTTTTTTCCAAAGTAGCTACTGGTTCATGTTCTTCCAAATGCTGTGATCTCTTTGAAGTTGTATTTGGATAGGTGTACATTTCCTGTGAGATCACATGATGTGCATAATCTGTGGATACTTTTGTATATTGTAGATGTTTGCCTGTTAGTTTTTCAGGCTGTACTTGCCTAGACTTTGAGATTCTAGCATAATAACCAGTGATTGTGAGAGTAAAATCAAACAATTGTATGAAAGCATGTTAAGACTGTTACTAATAAGTAGATTAACTTTTCTTTCTGTTGTACTAACTTCCTCCTTTTTTGTCAAAATATTTTCTTCAAATGTCCCTACAGATTAGTGAATTTAGTACTTCTTTTTAAAAAATGCCTATGGGCCCCGGCGCGGTGGCACAGTGGTTAAGGTCCTCGCCTTGCACCCCGGGGATCCCATATGGGTGCCGGTTCTAATCCCGGCAGCTCCACTTCCCATCCAGCTCCCTGCTTGTGGCCTGGGAAAGCAGTTGAGGACGGCCCAAAGTTTTGGGACCCTGCACCCTCGTGTGAGACCTGGAAGAGGCTCCGGGCTTCAGATTGGATCGGCATAGCATCGGCCTTTGCGCTCACATGGGGAGTGAATCATCAGACGGAGGATCTTCCTCTCTATCTCTCCTCCTCTTGGTATATCCGCCTTTTCAATAAATAAAAAAAAAATGCCTATGGCCCACTTTCTTTAGAGCTGGCTGTGTATCATTCAGTCCTTAGAGAATGACATGATTGAGTCCAGTTGTAATTTCTGTCTGTTACTACGTCTCAATGTTTCAGTGTTTATCTGAGGTTGTTTGTTGTAGTTATTGGAGATTGATTTACCTTTTCAAGGCAGATCGTTCCATCCACTAGGTCACTCCCCTGATACCTACTGGCCAGGCAGAAGCCAGGAACCACACACAGGTCTCCGAGCTGGTGGGGGCTGAGCCAGAAGCAGGGCTGAGCCAAGCCAGCATCCCCAGTGGGATTCACACAGGCGCCCATGGGGGACACCTTCACCTGCGGTGCCCTGTCTGTCTAAACATCACTGACTCTGAACTGCTGTGTCCCAGACACCTTGAGGAGCAATAACTTCAAGTAGGCATTATTCCTGTAAATGTGAATTCCTTCCTTCATCTTGAAATCGTTTTCCTTTTCATCATCTGGCATGTTGGTAATGCCTTTGAGATCTGATGTATTTTAAGAATTGAAGATCATCTAAAGAACACTAGTCTTTACTGTTCTCTGACCAATCTCAATTAAATGGGAAGGAGGCTTGCTTTGCTTTTTGTTTGTTTAACATTTAATGCAAGGCAGAGAGAGATTTATCCTCTGGTTCACTCCCCAAATGACTGTAACGGTGATGGTTTGGCCTGAAGCCAGGAGTGAGGAACTCTGTCCATGCAGTCTCCCATATGGGCGGCCGGGGCCCATCCTCCAGTGCCTTCCTAGGCACATCAGGAGGGAGCTGGCTCACAAGTGGGACAGCCGGGACTCCCACAGGCTCATATGGGATGCAGGTGTCACAGGCAGCAGCTTAGGGTGCTCAGCCCCACTACTGCCTGTGACAATGTTGTTTTAAAACCATTAGTTGGGCTTTTTTTTTTTAACGGGAAAGAATCACATAGAAGTACTTATTTTGTTTTCTGCCATTTTTCTTATATTTCATTTAATAACAAATATCGCCTTTGTATACATTATCCATTTACTGAAGTTAGCAATTTACCCATAAATGGATGATTAAGAAATAAACATTGAATTTATTATTATTATTAATTTTGGGCTTCTTAGGGGCAAGCATTGTGGCAAAGCAGGGAAAGCCCCTGCCTGTGACACCAGCATCCCATTATGAGAGCTGGCTGTTCTACTTCCAATTCCGCTCCTTACTACACCTGAGAAAGCAGCAGATGACACGACACCTTGGGCCCCTGCCTTCCATATGAGTGATGCAGGCAGAATTCCAGGTTCCTGGCCTTTCCAGCCATTTAGAGAATGAACCAGTGCTGGGAAATCTCCTTCTCCCTTTCTGAACTCTAGCTTTCATATGACTAAATATGTTTTTAAAAAATAGTTATGGGACCCGGCCAAAGTCCTCACCTTGAACGCACCAGCAGTCCATATGGGCGCTAGTTCTAATCCCAGCAGCCCCACTTCCCATCCAGCTCCCTGCCTGGGAAAGCAATGGAGGATGGCCCAAAGCCTTAGGACCCTGCACTGTGGGAGACCAGAAGAAGCTCCTGACTCCTGGCTTCGGATTGGCTCAGTTTCAGATTGTGATCACTTAGGGAGTAAATCATCAGACGGAAGATCTTCCTCTCTGTCTTTCCTCCTCTCTATATATCTGCCTTTCCAATGAAAATAAAATAAATCTTTAAAAAAATAACAGTTATGGCAGTTACGGGATTCAGTGTTGTAAACAAGTTTTTCAGGAATATTCTCATAAATTTTTTCATTATTTTATAGATGCCCTATTTTAATCTTGTGAAGAGTTTAACATCTGCCTTTCCAAATGTGTGCAATGTATCACGGTAAGTTTATAATCCATACTGGGAGTACCCAAAATCTTCATCGTATTTCCAGGAAATTTCTATTCTAAGTTGTTAGAAACCAGGCCAGTAAGTCTCCTATATAGTTAACTAAGTGTCACAGTGTCTGCTCTGTGTGCTTTTTAGAAAAAAAAAAGAAATAATATAATAAAATAAAATATGACCTTAACCCTGAATACAATGAGGAGAGTTCTGTCTGTGATTTTGTAAGTTTTTGAAATCTTGTTTATAAAAGTGATCTACTAAGAGCCGATGCAGTAGCGTAAAGGCTAAGTCCTCGCCTTTCATGTACCAGGATCCCATATGGACGCCGGTTCTAATCCCGGCAGCTCCACTTCCCATCCAGCTCCCTGACTGTGGCATGGGAAAGCAGCAGAGGACAGCCCAAACCTTGGGACCCTGCACCCACGTGGGAAACCCGGAAGAAGTTCCTGGCTCCTGGCTTCAGATCGGCTTAGCTCCGTCCATTGTGGCCACTTGGAAAGTATACCAGCAGATGGAATATCTTTCTGTCTCTCCTTCTCACTGTAAACTGACTTTACAATAAAAAAAATAAATCTTTAAAAAATGATCTATTGGAGTATAGCAGGAGCACTTTATATATTTTTCTAAATTGTAATGGCTTGAAAGCATTGTGGCATAGCTTATAAAGCCATTTGAGCTCCATTTTGAGTTGTTGCTGCTCCACTTCTTTTTTTTTTAAGATTTATTTATTTTTATTGAAAAATCAGATATATAGAGAGAGAGGAGGACATACAGGGAGGAAGATCTTCCATCTGATGATTCACTCCCCAAGTGAGCGCAATGGCCGGTGCTGCGCCGATCAAAAGCCAGGAGCCCGGAGCTCTTGCGGGTCTCCCATGCGGGTACAGGGTCCCAAGGCCTTGGGCCGTCCTCGGCTGCTTTCCCAGGCCACAAGCAGGGAGCTGCTCCATTTCTGATGCAGTCCTCTGCAGTGCGCCTGGGAAGGCAATGGATGATGGTTCAGGGCCGTGGCACCTGTACCCACGTGGGAGACCAGGATAAAATTCCTGGCCTTTGCCTGACAAGTTGTGACCATGTGAGGGTGAACCAGCAAATGGAAGATCTTTCTTTCCTTCTCTGTATCCTTGACTTTCAAATAAATAATCTTTGAAAAATTATGATGACCTTTTCAGAATCAAACTGAATTGGCAGCAAGTATTTGGGCTTACTTTTTGATCATCAACTTCAAAAAGATCATGTGATTCAAATATAAGCTTGTCTTGGTACCAAAACATTTTGAAATTCACATGTAATTTTTCCTGAACATTTCCTTCTATGTGTAAAATTTCAACAACTTTTTTGGCCCCAGATAAACTTCGCCTTCTTCTTCTTCTTTTTTTTTTTTAAACTTATTTTGTTTTTTATTGGAGCATCAGATATGCAGAGAGGAGGAGACAGAGAAGAAGACCTTCCGTCCATTGATTCACTCCCCAAGAGGCTGCAATGGCTAGAGCTGAGCCAATTCAAAGCCAGGAGCCAGGAGCTTCTTCCAGGTCTCCACACAGGTGCAGGGACCCAAGGCTTTGTGCTGTTCTCGACTGCTTTCCCAGGCCATAAACAGGCAGCTGGATGGGACACAGGATTGCAAGGATTAGAACTGGCATCCATATGGGATCCCGGCACATGCAAGGCAAGGACTTTAGCTACTAGGCTACTGCACCGGGCCCATAAACTTACCTTTTAATTCCAGTTTCTGTGAGGTGTGGCTTTGATTGTTATTTAACATTTTCTCCTTCATTTGAAAGAGTTATGGAGATGAAGAGGGTAGTCAGAGAGATCTTGGGTGCTGGTTCTCTCCCTAGTTGGGCATAACATCCAGGACTGAGCCAGGCAAAAGCCAGGACCCAGGAGTTTCATTCAGGTCTTCTAGGTTGGTGTCAGTAATGGTGACAAGGGCTCAAGCACTTGGGCCATCTGCTGCTGCTTTTCCCAGGCCATTAGCAGGGAGCCGGATTGGAAAGAGGAGCAGCTGGGATGTGAACCAGCATCTGTGTGAGACGCCGGCTCAGCAGGGGGCAGCTTTACCTACTCTTCCACAATGCTAACCCCACACATGAACTTCTTGAAGTGCTGTAGTGTGCGTGTGGCATGTGAGTGCAATATCGACTAACAGATGAAGTCGTGAACACTTTTGCTCATTCCAGGTTTCAGCACACAACACCAGCGGCATGCTGCTGTAGTCAAACGCGGAGCGGCGAGAAATTCTCCGATCCTTTCAAACTCGGATGGAGAGACTTGAAGGGCCTGTACGAGGACATCAGGAAGGTTAGTGGTTTTGGTTGTAACATTTCCGTTGAGTAAAAGGAAATTTTCATAATTTTTTTTTTAAGTTTTTCTGATAGAGACCATAGTATGGCAAACTTTTGGTTTCTGTTGGAAACATTTGGTTTGATTTGTTTGATTTGGTTCTTTTTGGTAAGATTTGGAAGACTTAGAGGGAGAGACAGATTTTTCATCATCTGGTTCACTGTCCAGATGGGTGGAGCCGTTGCCAGGAGCCAGCAGCTTTTTCTGGGTCTTCGATGTGGCTACAGGAACCTAAACACTTGGGTTAGGGTATCTTTTGCTGCTTTCTCAGGTCTTTTAGCAGGGAGCTGGATCAGGAATGGATCAGCTGGGACTGGAACCTGTGCCCACATTAGATGCCAGTGTCACAGTGACTTAACCCGCTACACCATAGCATTGTCCCCGGAAACACCAAAGTTCTAAGTATCCATGTGTGTCCAGGTGTCTGCGCCTCACAGCCAGGTGAATCCGGGAGGTGTCTCCTGTCACCTCAAGTCCCAGCCTGACTTCCTGGCCCCCTGCTGCTACCCATCAGGCACTGGTCATCCTCCTGCCCCATAGCTCCCTTTGCCGCCCCACCCAGGGTGTGTCCTAGTCCTGCTGCTTGAGCTCCCACACTCTTGTCGTTTTCCTCTACGCTCCCTTTTCTGTCCATGTTGAGTCCCTCTGCCACCTAGTGCCTTGTCCCCTCCTGCCTGCGGAGTCAGCTGGTATGTGATGGTTGGGCAGGTGGCAGTATCTGTGCTAGCCCCGAGACGTCCCACCCCTGCCCCATGGGCGCTAGGCCAAGCATTGTCTAGCTTCCAGTGGGTGGGGCCGTTAGCTTTCTGGCCACAGTGCAGTCCTGGCCGGCTGAGTGGTCTGATGGCTTTTCCCAACTGAAAAGGAGTGCCATGCAATTAAAACCTAACGCCTCGTGAGAGACCTGTCGCTGACCTACAGTGCAATTCCCTGGCAGGAGCTGCTCGTGTCCACAACGGAGCTGAAGGAGATGTCGGAGTACTACTTCGACGGGAAGGGGAAAGCCTTCCGGCCAGTGGTCGTGGTGCTCATGGCCCGAGCTTGTAACGTCCATCACAACAACTCCCGGTGAGTGGCTCACTCCGCGCCAACGTCACCCTCCCCTTCCCCTTTAAAGTAACCCTTAAGGAACCTGAGGGTTCTCTGGGTCAGATGTCAAGCCCGAGGGGAGCCTCCCAGAGTGCTTTGGGCTCTCAGCTGGCCTCTTCCTCTTCCAGACTTTCTAAACACCTTCCCTTGACAAAGCAACTTCAGCTACAAATCCACCGGTTAGAAAAACGCCTAAGGCCAAATTTGGTCTTCCTGTTGGGAAGTAGAGAGTGCCAGGAAGTGCCAACCCATTTAGTCATTCTGGGTGTGCAGCAGCAGCCAGTCCAAAGGTTGAGTGTGCGGATGCAGTGCTCTTGGGCAGCCCCGCCCATTCCCTCAAGGACCTCGCCTCCTGTGACCCCTGACCCGCCTTCCACCCTCAACCCTCAACGTTCGCATTTCAAATATTTAAAAATACTCTGAACCATTTGCAGTTTTAGCAATAAGGAAATCTTAAAGGAGAAAGGACTCCCTCAAAATGCCAGACAGCCTTTCTTTCCCGCTCTGTGGTTGGGTACAGTCATTCTGGGTGTAGAGTCTTGTGTTCTGCTCACCGCCCTCAGAGGTAAGGCAGGAAAGAAATGTGTCAGGTGCTCCAAATCTCACCTGTTAGCCGCGCAGATGAGCATCTTGTCAGGTCCCTTCGCTAAAGTGGCTACAGAAATTGTGGTCTCCCAGACAAGACACTGCTGGGTGACAGTGAGCTCAGCGTTGCCCTCTGCAGGGCCATCTGTGAGCTGCAGGCCCAGGCTCTCCCAGAAAGTGGAGTGAGACAGCCTTGCACTTGCTGTGAAGTAGAGAAGTGGCAGCTGTGGTGTGCTCTGGGGTGGGAGCAGTAGTCGAGGAGATGCCACTCTCTGAGCCCCAGCTTGTGGGGCACGCTGACTTCCCAGGAGCATGCTCTCAGTAGCCTTTGAGCCCACTCTTACTTCTGTACCATTTATATATATATATTTTTAAGATTTTATTTATTTTTATTGCGAAGTCAGATATACAGAGAGGAGAAGAAACAGAGAGGAAGATCTTCCATCCAATGATTCACTGCCCAAGTGAGCACAACGACTGGTGCTAAGGCCAGGAGCCAGGAGCTTCTTCCACGTCTCCCACGTGGGTGCAAGGTCCCACGCCTTTGGGCTGTCCTCTGCTACTTTCCCAGGCCACCCTGTCAGGGAGCTGGATGGGAAGTGATGCTGCCAAGATTAGAACCGGCACCCATATGGGATCCTGGCACATTGAAGGCAAGGACTTTAGCTGCTAGGCTACCACGTCGGGCCCTTTGTGCCATTTAAAGGAGGGCTGTGCCACTGTGATTTTACTTGTGGAGAGAAGTGAGGGACTGTATATGAAAACAGTAGCTCAGGATTGAGGAGCAGGACCACAGCGGGCCTCGAAGGCAGCTAGGGCCACCGGTCCCTTTGCCCAGTGGTAGAAGAGCCTGTTCCTGCTCGTTGGTGATGGAGTCACTGAGCTAGATCTGCTTGACTATTTGAAAGTCAACACCCCCTGCGTCATTGGGTGAGTGCCGTGGCACCTAAGGGGAAGCCACAGCTTGGGACGTGCACAGTTCATTTCAGAATGTTGGCTGCTCTGTGCTTCTGGTCCTGCTCACATGTGCTAGGAAAGGCAGCAGATGACGGCTGAAGTGATTGGGTCCATCCTCTTCATACTGGAGACCTAGATGGAGATCCTGGATTCAGCCTGGCCCCGTGCCAGCTCTTGTAGCCATCTGGGGAATGAACCAGCAGATAGAAGATATCTTTCTGTCTCTCTCCCTCTCCCTCCCTCTTTGTCGCCTTCTCTGTCTTTCCACTCCCCCTCCTCCTCTCTTTTTCTCCCTCTCCCTCCCTCTTTGTCTTCTATCATTCTTTCTTTTTATTTATTTATTTTTTTTTAAGATTTATTTTTTACTAGAAAGGCTGATTTATAGAAGAAAGATCTCTGTCCTCTGGTTCACTCCCCAAAGTGGCTACAAAGACTGGAGCTAAGCTGATCCAAAGCCGGGGACCAGGAGCTTCCTCCGGGTCCCTCACATGGGTGGAGGGTCCCAAGGTTTTGGGCCATCCCCTATAGCTTTCCCAGGCCACCGGCAGGGAGCTGGCAAGGAAGTGGAACAGCCAGGATATAAACCAGCACCCATATGGGATCCCGGCACATGCAAGGTTAGCATTTAGCTATTGGGCTATCACAGTGGGCCCTTCTGTCACTCTTTCGAATAAATCTTGAAAAACTATTTTTAAGGGCTCCTATGGGATGTGTCAGATGTTATCATCTGGCTTCTCAGGTGTACTGATAGGTTAACAGTAATTTTGGAGGAGATTTTAGAAAACAACAATGCAGACATCTCCAGAAGTAAAGAAGGGGTGGGAGAAGGACCCTCAGTCCTTCAATTCCTTTGTGACGCTTTGCAGTTACTAGGGACTATTCTGAGGCCCTTGACTCAGGTAGGCCTGTGAACCCTGAGAAACTGAACGCGCAATCACTTCTCAGCCTTTGGGCTAAGATCAAGTGTAGAAACTGCAGAATTTTTTTTGTGTATTTCTGGTTTTTCTTGGAAAGGGATTTTAGGGTGAGGGTTAGTGTATTTTCTCCATGTGTGCCAGAACCCTGAAAATCTGTCTCCTGGTACTCACCATACCTGGTCGGGTAGAGTGATGCATGGAGTATGTGACTCAGATGGGAATTCTAGTGGTGCTTGCAGTGGAATCTGCCACGGCTCCCCTCGGGGGCCCCCCTCAGTGGAGACCACCTCGCCTGGCCGCCCTCGTGGGTGCCTGGCTCCTGTGGGCCAGCACATCCTCCACCTCCTTGGAGGACTTCAGTACTACACAGGAGCCTCTCACCTTGAGGTGCCCACCCCCAGGTACCCATAGGACCCTATGGGGTATCCAAGGCCATCACTGCCTCCTCTGGCCCTTGGGCATCCTTTGCCTTGAGTTTCATCTCAGTGTCTGCTTCCACGAGAACCTAACTGGGAACAGAGTTCAGCCGGACTGACGGTCTAAGAATCCAGCTCAACATCACAGTAGGCTCCCAGGGGCAGGTGTTTAGCCTGGTGGTTGGAATGCCATGTTGCATGCACATTGGAGTACCTGGAATAGACCCACAGCTCTGGCTCCAGCTACCAACTCCAACTTTCCGTCAACACTGGGAGGCAGGGATGATGGGTCAAGGAATTGATTCCTAGCCCCCTACAAGGGAGACGTGGATGGTGATTCTGGCGCCAGCCACTTGGGCATTTGGGAAGTAAGCCAGCAAATGGGAGCTTTCTCTATCCTGTCTCTCCCTCTTCTCTGTGCCTGAATAAAGAAATTTTTAAAAAAAAAATAGATAAGCAGATATGCACGGGTTTTGCTGTGCTTGGTACTGTTTGACAGCAGGAGCATTGCAGTAGCCTGAGTCTCACTCCTGCCAGAGCCAGCCTGCTTAGCAGGCTCGTGAAGGGCACCTGTCAGCATTGACCTTGGCACCATCCCCCTGTGTGGGAGGCGAGTACCATTGCCAACAATCCCTGGGGTATGTGGTGTGCAGATCTTCTGATCTTGATCTTGTTGTCTAGATGTCCTTAGATCCAACTAGTCCGGTTTCCAAAGTTGAGGTGAGGTGACTGGGTAAAATGCAGTTGTCACAACAGATAAGCATTCACTCATTAGATTTATTTAATAACTTACTGAGCTAACTAAACAATTAGGCCACTCATCAGGCTAAGAATCCAGGTGTGATAGCAATCTTATAGCCAGAGGTGGTAACTTTTCAGGGAGATGTCAGGAGCTTCTCCTGGGAAGACTCCTGCCGTGCTTGGAACCTTCCCTGGCTTCTGGGAGTTCTGGTTCTCTGAGCAGCTGTTCCTGGAACAGGCCATGCGGCCGGCACCCAAGGAGGTGCCCACTTCTGAAACCCAGGCAGTGGTTCTGTTGATGTACACCTACTTGGTATGAAGATTGAGTCTGAAGTTTCCACTGAGGGAAGGCCCTGAGCAGGTGGAGACTTTGACAAGCTGGTGATGATCGTGATGGGAGGGCTGCAGGGCTTGTGAGCGTGATGCACAGCCTCCTCTGGCCCCGGGCTTGCCAGGATGGAGCAGCCAGCCTCAGCCTTGGGTGTCTTCATCCAGTTTGGAAAAACAGACTGTTTCATCACATCGTAATAGTGAGGATCCTGTGACTCCCAGTCTCTCTGCACCAAGCCAGAACCTGGACCCTGTCAGCAACTCTCTGCACATCCCCAGCATGTGAGGCTTCGTGGGCACCCTCAGTGGCTCCAACACAAATGGCAGCGAGAGCCTCAACCCACTGGGCCACTGCTCAGATGGCTGCAAAAGCCAGGCTGGGCCTGGCTGAAACCTGGAGTTTTATCCAAGTCTTCCATTGGAGCGGCAGAGTCCATGCACTTGGACCATCTTCTGCTGCTTTTCTGGGCCATTAGCAAGGAGCTGGATTGGAATTGGAGTAGCCAAGACGCATACTGAATGCCGGCTTCACAGGCCTGTGATGTGTGCTGGCCCCAACTTGTAATTTAAGAACTTCATACTCTCTATTAATATAAATATGGAAAAAGTATTTTTTTGTTTATGCTTTTTTTTTTTTTTTAATTTCATGTGAGCTACATTCAGGGTTTGGGAGATGGTCATTGTGTTATTTCATTTGTTATGTACGTTTGACATTCCTCATTATGAAAAATTACATTAACAATGGCAGCAAAAAGCTTCTCAGATCCTTGCACACTGCTGGCACCCTCTTCCAGGTGGATGTGGTTGCCTCTTTCTCATGCCACTTCCCTGTCACCCTTCCCAGAAGCAGAGAAAGCGTGGCGGCGATTTCCCAGGAGGAAGTAGAAAGGCAGCCAGCTTTCTGAAGCTGTGACACAGGGCATCTTCAAGGGAGTGTGAGATCGCTGTGTTATCTCTAAATGTTGATCATCCATGCCTGTGGGCTGCCACGCTAGGAATAAGCAGCAGCACAACACACAGTGAAGTCCAGTTGCACAGGGAAGAAATAGGCATCTGGTAAGAGCAGAAAACATCTCCCCTAGGCTATCCTAGGGAGAGGCTGTGTCGGGTTTAGGAGTCCTGAATGCATCTGCCCATCCTTTGACCGTGCAAAATGACAGTGGTTGTGTCGGTGGTAACACATCAAGGCATCAACATCATGCGACATCTCTGAGTCAAGATCTTCAAATTAAAGCACCGGACTCCAGAACCTGGGTGAACACTGCAGCTCCCCAGCCAGAGCCCTGGCTACTGTCATAATTTATGATCCTGGCATCACAACCCAATTTAGGAATGCCTGAAAGAGGCTAGAGGTGTGAACCGTTGTGAAAGTGAATTCTGCTGCCTTCTAAAAGTGTCAATTTTAGGAGATGGAAAGTCAGCTGAGAAACTATTCTAAAAGGTGGCTTTAGTAAGTAGAAGCCTCCATCTTTTTTTTTTTTTTTTAAGATTTATTTTATCTTTTTTATTGGAAAGGCGGATATACAGAGAGGAGAGACAGAGAGGAAGATCTTCCGTCCGATGATTCACTCCCCAAGTGGCCGCAACAGCTGGAGCCGAGCCAATCTGAAGCCAGGAGCCTCTTCCGGGCCTCCGAAGTGGGTGCAGGGTTCCAAAGCTTTGGGTCGTCCTCGGCTGCCCTCCTGGGCCACAGGCGGGAAGCTGGAAGGGAAGAGGGGCTGCCGGGATTAGAACCGGCGCCCATATGGGATCCTGGGCGTGCAAGGCGAGGACCTTAACCACTACACCATTGTGCCGGGCCCGAAGCCTCCATCTTTTGCTGTTCCATTCAACTCAAACAAGAGAGAGCGTTATACATGTCTTTGAAAAATATTGAAGGTTCCTAATACAAAATCCAAAGATCTTTGAAAGAGTTACAGAGAACTTTCCATCCACTGGTTTATTCCCAGATGGCCACAAGAGCCTGAGTTGAGCCAACCTGAACTGGGAGCTAGGAGATGAGTGGCAGAAGCACAGACACTTGGGCCCTCCTTCACTGCTTTTTGTAGGCCACCATATGGGAGCTGGATGGGGAGTACCTGCTTGGGATGCTGATGGCACCTGCATGGGATGCTGATGTTGCAGGCGATGGTCCTACCCTTGATACCACAACGTCCCCCTCAGAGCAAGCTCCTAGGAAAGCTTTAAGCTTCTGTTTTCTCCTCTACCAAGTGTTTCTCTTTAATCTCTTACTCTCTTTCTCTCTCTCTCTTTTTTTTTTTTATTCCCATTTTTATTTGAAAGGCAGAGAGACAGACAGACACTGGCTCATTCCTTCAAATGCCTCCCCTGCAGCAGAGGCTAGGTCCAACCAAAGCCAAGGAACTCGGCTCTCAGTCTAGATCTCCTACCTGGAAACAGAGCCCCGCATCCTTGAGCCGTCACCTGCTGCCTCTCGGGGCTGTGCGTGAGCAGGCAGCTGGTAAACCCTGAACAAAGTGAAGTCTTAAACCCTGGCAGTCTGACACGAGCTAGGGGCCTCCCACCTGACCTGACATGGTTTTCTGTGGTGATCTGGCTGTCTTGTTGGCCTTTGCTCTCCTCTGCCAGCCCCCTTGGAAGAATCTGTTCTGATCAGCAAATTCGAGGAACTGTTATCCTTGTGAGCAGTTCCTAGATAAGCAGCAGCACCCGCCTCCCTGATTTCTGGGTGGAAGGTTTAATGCCATGGCTCAGGTGAGAGAACCCTGCTCAGGGTCATAGTTCCATGTCACATTTAAAGCAGGATCAGGAGAGACTCCCTCACTGGTTCAGCTTCTGGTTTAGATCCCTGTTCTCTCAGGTAGCTGACTTTTGTTAATGCTCATGACATTTCTGCAGTGTCTGAGGAGTTAGAAGGAGCACTAGTGTTCTTCAGATGTTCACATTTGATTGGCAAAGCAAAAGTTCTTAAAACAGTCCTGTCCCTTTTCTGTCTTCTTGAGATATAAACTGGTGATATTTGAAAAGAGGTAAATTGCAATAAAGGAAACATTTGGTTAGTGTGTTTAAGTTAGGCATCAAGTTTCATATTCAAAATGTTCAGTTGGTTATTTTTTTGCAGTTTTACTTCTTTGAAATCTAGATTTAATACTCCCTATGGATGATGATGATGATGATGATAAAAAAGAAACTGGAAGGGGAAGTGGGCAAGTGTTGGGCCTGCTGGTTAGAATGCCTGGTAGTGCACCTGTGTTCTCTGTTGGCATGCCTCGTGTTGGTGCCTGGCACCAGCTTCCGACTGCAGCCCCTGCTGGCACAGAGGCTGGGGGCTCAGGCACATAGGCTCTGCCAACATGTGGGTGACTCAGATTGCCTTCCCAGATCCTGGTCTAGGAACCATAGCTGACATCTGGCCAGTGACCAAGGGGATAGAAGCTCTCTGTTTACCTGGGTCTCAAGTAAGAAAAGAAAACCTGGGAATACAACTTGTGATATAAAATGAGCATCTGGGTGTCTTCTTAGAGCACTTATCCTGTGCTTGGTGTTAAACTAGAGAAACAAAAAAAGTTCAGGTTCTGATGCAAATCCTTTTTTGATTGTTGAAGTAGTTATTATGGTAACCATTTAAGGCCATATTAAAAGCTTTTAATAATGCCATATATCTTATCCCCCCACCAAGAAAAAGTATTTCCTTGTTTATTTGAAAGGCAGAGAGCTCTCCATCCACTAGTTCACTCTCTAAAAGATTTTTTTTTCGTTACATTTCATTTTATGACACTGTTTCATAGGCTCTGAGGTTCCCCAACTCCTCCCCATGTCCTCCCCCCATGGTGGATTACTCTACCTTATTGCAGTATTACAGTTCATATGCAGTCATGCTTCTTTCATTGCAAGTATGTATGATGCATAGAGTCCAGCATCTTATTGTCCAGATAAATTCGACAGTTTCTTGTACTCCCTAAAAGATCTTAATGATCAGAGCTGGGCCAGGCCAAAGCAAGAAGCCTACAGCTCCATCCAGACCTGCCATGTACATGCCAGGGACCCATCCTCTGCTGCCTTGCCAGGCACATTAGCAGGGAGCTGTATCAGAAAAGGAACAGCTGGGACTTAAGCCACTGCTCCAGTATGGGATGCCAGTGTCATATACGGTGGCTTAATTCACAGTGCCAAAACTGTTCCCATTGCACTTCTGACAGATTCTCACCTGTATTCCCCATCTGCCCTTGGAACTGAATATAACCTTGTTTAAACTGAAATGATTGAGCCAGCTGTGGAACATGAAGGAGATTCTTCAGCCTACCTTTTTTTTTTTAATCCCCTCCCCTCCTTTTTGGTTTACTACACACATTTCAGCTCTGAATGTTGGAATGCGTCAAATAAACTCTTGCCAGGTCTGCCCCCCCGCGTTTTTGTATGTGTTCTGCAAACAAATGCTCTGCGGGGAAGCCCGAGTGTTGACAGTTTCTCTTAGAGAACCTAAATTCTTGATCCTAGATCCAATGTCCCGTTCTCCCAAGAGGAGAGTGCTGAGGACATTCTAGGCAGCGTCTCTCTGTTTACCAGCCTTGCTTTCTGTTAATCAGAGATGTGCAAGCCAGCCAGCGCTCCATAGCCTTAATTGCAGAAATGATCCACACCGCCAGTCTGGTCCACGACGATGTGATTGACGACGCAAGTTCCCGAAGAGGCAAGCACACAGTTAATAAGATCTGGGGTGAAAAGAAGGTATGGTTTGCCTCTTTTTTTTTTTTTTTTTTCTAAAATATCCTTGCTTATCAGCCGATTTTTGGATCTGATCTCTCAATCAAAAGTGAGAGGTATTTGCTCAGATGTACTGTCGAATGGTTCACAGATATATTGCTGCGTTCTCTCCAGGCGGGTACTTGGTAGTAGGGCTTAGAGCTATGCACTGTTTGCTTTTACACAGGGTTGGTTACAAGCAAAGGGGTTTTCATGAGTAGCCCGAAAGCTTATCATGAACCATCGTGCTTTGACTGCTGGGCTCAAGTTATCCAGATTCACTGTCATCCCTTCAACATTTAAGGATTGAGTGCTACATGTACAGGTGCCAAAGCAAAGGCATACAAAAATTTTTAAAAACAAAAAAAAGAGGAATGCCATTCTTACATTTTTACCTCTATCTACAGAGGGGCTACCTTGTTGAGAATGGCTCATGGTGTATATTACCAACTATAGCATCCTGTAAAGGAAGAGTGCAAAAGAAGGGCTTTTGAGCTGGCAGAATGGTGTTCAAGTTGAATTAATGCTGATGAAGACACACAGGCCCAGCTGAGGCCAACTTCACCCAGCAGGTGTCCTGCCCCACTGAAAATGGCATTCCCTCTCACGCTCCCCCACCACTCCCAGCATCCGATTTCCTTCCAAAACGTCATCCTTATCTTCACAACCATGACTCGTGATTTGGTTGTGAATTTGAATCCTGTACTTTGTGAGAAAGAGGTTGGAGCGGCCAGGCAATGAATTTGTGACAAATCCCTGGAATCTGTGGGGTTGTTTTTCAGGCAGGGCCAGGAGCAAACCCTGAGTAAGAGCCTTGACTTGGACAGGGGAGGTAATCTGGAGATGTCGGTGTGGGCTGCCCCTGGCCTTGTACCTGAACGCAGGGGAGGGCGCTGCTGAGCTGTCCTCGCCTCCCTCGTTGGCCTGTACAACAGAGCTGCCCAATTCCCAAGGCAAAAACTCACTCTCTCGGTGCCTTCCTCTCCAGTCCCGGTGCCTTGGCTGGGTGGGTCCCACCCCCTGCTGTCTTCACACCCCCGCCTTCCACAGTCTTGTGGCTACATTTCATTTGCTAGAAGCTTTCGTCCTGGAGAGTGCCCGGGGCTGGGAATGCCAGGTGCTGAGCTGCTGATCACGGCAGGCAGAAGGTGGGTCTAAGAGGAGACGTGTGTGTCATGGTGTGTCAGATGACTTCTACCTGTGCCTTCACATTGCCACGCCTTCCATAATATGGACAGTGGTACTTCAAAAGGTTTTCAGGCAGATTGAATTAAATGATGGCTTTGTTTTCATGTGAGAAATTTTGAAGTCCACTTAGAGTTTTTTCATAATACACATTATCCATGGACATTTTTAAGATCTGCTATATGCATGGATTTCTATATTTTTTAAATGAAAACAAATATTTTTCAGTTCCTGTTGGTAAATTCTTTGAAACCCTTTCATGATGATTACTTCGTAAAGTATATATCAGTTTCCTATACTAGAGAACTAACACAGTGAAGATCCCAAATGGTTATATTGAAAATTGTATGAATTACTATGAGGCTTAGCATTGATGAGTAATGACCATAAAGTATAACATATGTCTATAAATATGTGAATCAATGTGGTGTCTAGGTAGTGATTTTCTTTTATTTATTTATTTATTTGAAAGTCAAAGGGAGAGTGAGGCAGAAATCTCCCATCCATCGCTTCACTCCCCGGGGAGCTGCAAGTGGCCGTGGTTGGACCAGGCCGGAGCCGGGAGCCAGGAGCTTCATCAAGGTCTCCCACATGGGTGGGTGACAATTCTCAGCCACATGGGCCATGCTCCGCTGCTTTCCCAGAGACTCCCACAGAGAACTAGATTGAAATTGTAGTGACTAGGATACAAACCAGTACCCATATGAGATGCCAGTATTGCAGGCGATGGTTTTATTAGTTATGCCACAACTTCAGCCCCTACAGTATGTTTCATTATGACACATGATTAGATTATTTCTAGCTGTGATCAGTGGGTCATACAAGATGGGTATCTGCTCCCCATCTAAAGATTATACAAATACTCATTACTAGTACTGGGTGGGAAAGATACTTTCTGTTGAAATGATGATCTGTATAATGTAGCCCAAAGGACGTTGAACCTGGAGCCGAGATTCATTGCCTCATTCTCACTGACAGAAGCATGTTTGGTGTGTGGGCTGAGGCGTGTCCCCCCATCATTGTGGCACATCAGCCTTCACTGGCTGCAATGCAGAGTGGGATAAGCAAAGGACATTGGCGGTGTGTCTCACACACCCAGAAGGGAGGCATCTGATCCCATGGTAATCAGAGCAGACTTCCTGAAGGTGGTGCCACAACTGTGTGGACAAGTCCACTGTGTGAAGAAGGGCATGAGCAGAAGGAGCAGGCCCAGCCGCCTGGGCTGAAGGAAGTAGGTGTGGTCCCAGAGAGCTTCATGTTGGTAGGGACTCCCTCCCCAGGCATTTCATTTCCCCAGCTGTGAGGTTGGGAGATGGACAAGGTGGTCTCCCAGAGACCCAGGTCTGACAGCATCCCCAGCTGAACCTGAGGGTCCCACAGTTGCACGATGCCAGCCCCTCTCCTGAGCATTTGCCTTTCCCTCCTCCAGGCCGTGCTCGCTGGAGATCTAATTCTGTCTGCAGCATCGATCGCTCTAGCACGGATTGGAAACACGACCGTTATATCTATTCTGACCCAAGTGATAGAAGACCTGGTGCGTGGTAGGTTGGTCTGATTTCTCAGTCCTGGTGTTGGGGAGGGCAGTGAGATCAGCTCTCCAGTGACTGCTTTCCTTTTCTTTGTAGGTGAATTTCTTCAGCTGGGGTCAAAAGAGAATGAGAACGAGAGATTCGCACACTACCTGGAGAAAACCTTCAAGAAGACGGCCAGCCTGATCGCCAACAGTTGTAAAGCAGTATGTACGTTCTGTCTGCAGCTTGCACATGGCCACAGGGCGCCCGACCCGGAGCTAACTCTCCCAGAAAATGTTTCCACTGCAGAGCCTTAAGATAGCACCCCAAACCCCGCGGGGTCAAGAGGAAATCCTCACAGCCCTGAGACAAACACTTTCTGGCTTTCTTTTCTTTTCTTTTTTTTTTTTATATGGAATGCTTCACAAATTTGTGTGTCATCCTTGGGTGGGGACCATGCTAATCTCTATATCATTCTAATTTTAGTATATGTGCTGCCAAAGCAAGCACTGGTTTTCATTTTTGCTAACTTCTTTTGGTATACACCTGGTAATTTTTTGGTTTTTTTTTTTTCCTCCTAAGAAGTGAATCAAAGTAAGCTTTAGATGTTCCCTTATTTTCAAATTTGCAAATTTCTCACAAGCACTGTTTTTGGTACATTTAACAAGTTAACTGCTGTATGCTGAAATATATTAATTACTTGGCATAAAGTCAAACTTACATTGTAGTAGTGTTGCATGGTAGATGCTCTCAATTTTTTTTTTTTTTAATTTATCTATTTAAGAGTTACAGAAAGGAAGATAGGGAGAGAGAGAGAAATGTTCCATCTGCTGGTTTACTCCCAAATAGCCTTAACACGTCAGAACGGGCCAATCTGAAGCTAGGAGCCTAGAGCTTCTTTGGGGTCTCCCAGGTGGATGCAAGGGACCAAGCATCAGCCATCTTCTGCTGTTTTCCCAGGCTTATTAGCAGGGAACTGGAGCAGAAGTGGAGCAGCCGGGACCCAGACTGGCCCCCATAGTAGCGCTGCAGGTAGAGGCTTTCCATGCCATGCCACGACAGCATCCCCCTCAATATTCTTCCCTAAAATACAACCATGTGTTTTTCAGAACGTAAGTTGAATATGTTGGACTGTACTCGCCCCCTATTTTCTCCCTGGCCTTTCCCTCTGTGTGTCTGTTTCTGTTTTTAAATCAGTATTGTCTGTAATCTATAGATTGAAACACATGGTGTTTCCTGGCCACACTTGGATGACTTGTTAGCCCAGAGAATTGTCCACTTGCACACTTCACTGCACCCAAGAGGCAGTCAGAAGACTGTGTGATGGAAACAGCGAGAGAGGGAGACCTCGAGGGCCAAGTGCCTTCTCAGAGGAAGAGGCATCAGTGGTGCTGGGTGTGTCTGTGTTGTGTCAGGCCCTGTGGCAGTGTGGTCCAGGAAGAAGTGAGGCCAATCTGCTTCCCGGGAAGATCCAGCAGGAAGCCCGGACGAGCGTGAGGGATGTGGAACATGCAGGCTGCAATCTCAGCTGTTTTGGTCCTTTTTGTTGAGAAGACTATTATAGTTTTATTTCCAACAAGTGACAAATGTGTTTAAAAGAGAAATGACTATCTGATGGACACTGACCACTAAAGAAATGCTAAGAATGGCCTGTGTTGAATGGAGTCCCGTGGATCCCTCTTGGAACGTCATGCCCTAGTGGCCATAGGCTCCAGAAAGGTGCAGGGTTCCCCACCCTACCACCATGGGCATCCTAGAGGGGCTCACGGGGGCTGGTGCCAACACCAGGGGGCAGCGCCATGTCCCTGCTGCATACTCTCTGTGCTGGGTCCCTCCCGGAGTCCAAGGGAGGAACAGTCTCGTTGTGTGGTCACTCCTGATCCTGAACACCTGTCCAAGTAAACCATGGCCCAGGACTTGACCATGATGAAGGAGGAAATGCCTCACACTGTCCACTAGGAGGCAGGCCAGCATCATCCCAGAAACTAGAAACCAGAGCCATGGCAGCAAGAAAGCAGTCATGCGATGAGTTCTGAATTCCAGTTTTCTGTATTTAAATGCTACCACTGGAAAGAGTTCCAGAGGTGTGACAGTGTCAGTAGCCTTGGTATTGAAAACACAGAGGCATAGGAGCCCCATGGGAAGGCATGCAAAGCCTGAGACCAAAAAGAGGTGCTAGGGAGTATTGAAATGACCAGGATTCTCATACCAGCATTGTGAGTGGGATTTGGGAATTTGATGGCAACTCGCCAGCTCATCATTCATTCTTCTAAGGACACCATTTCCCCACCAGCACACACTGGGTGGTGAGAGGACATGATATGAGTGGGTTGTTACGGGGTTGTTGTGCACGTCTCCTAGCGATGTCATGATGGGCTGTTTATATACAAGGGACGGCATGCCAAGTGCATCCTGAGGCATACCCGTGAGGTCCAGGTCAGGTTCCCGCTGGGGGTTACTCAGCCACCCAGACTGGGCAGGGATGTCCTGCTGCTCTCGTGCTTTGTCTTCTGATATTCTTTCTTTCCAGCCCTGCCTGTGGCCTGGGATCAGTGTGCGCTCTGCCCGTTACCTTGCTTTCAAAGCTCCAGGCTTCCAGTCATAGACTCATGTTCTGCATGTGAGATCTGGCCAGTGTTCCTCATGCTGTTAACAATGAAAGGGAAAAGTCTGGCGCAGGCTGCAGTCCACCAGCTCCTGGTTTACTATCGTGAAACATCAGTCGGCGTCGTCTTCTTTTTTTTAACTGAACAGTTCTGAGTCCTTCCCAATCTTACATTAGTTTCTCAGTGTGAAGTGCCACATCCGTTCTGCTGGCCAGCTTCTCCACTGGGGTTCGTCCCGGGTTTCCCACCATGGGATTCTGGCTGTGAGCCTCTGACAGGCCGGAACACAACAAGTCAGACTGTCTTTGTCACACCAAGGGACGCATGGTGGCCCCACCCTGTCACTGGGGAGGCTGACTTTGACCACTTGATGAGGGCTGTGTCTTCCAAGTTTCTTCTCGACTTTCAAGTCCTTATTTTGTCCCTTTGTGGGGAAGGTGATTTCCACCATCTGTAATTAGTGTGTTTCTCTTCAAACTGTCAATCTCTGGTTGTAGAATCTCAAAGTACTGACAGTTCTTTCCCCAAGTGGTGATCACTGGTGTGCTTGCCAAACAGCGGGCCCGGTGTCTGCAGAGAGAGATGGAGGTTGTAGGTTGGGGTCATCAGCATCTTAACTGCCCACCCTCCGCCCCTGCCCCTGCCCCCATGAGCCACAATGTGCGGCTTAGGGGAACGGGAGGATCCCAGATACAGCATGGCCCGGTTGTGGCACCTGCTGCTCATTAAGACTGAGTCAGGCTCCTGCCGGTGTGAATCACTATTTGCTGCAGCCCCCGTCCAGGAAGACGCATGCCATCTGCTGATGCTGGCACCTCTTGGCCATCGTGTGCGCTGAGCCTTATGGCATCTGCTTTCCCGTTGGGGAGCTGTTTGTCACAGAGCAGGGGTGCAGAGAACAGGCCTCTCCAAGGTGGGCTTGGTGCCACAGTGGCCTAATCTGTGGGTATGTGCGGGGCACAAGCTGTGTGGCAGCCCATGTGAGTGGGGAGGCGACGGGCACAAATGCTCCTGGCAGTAGCTTCCCACGGCTTGTGCTTTGAGCTTCTAGAGGAGAGCAGAGGGATTAAGAGCTCAGCTCCTGGAGCCAGGCGGTTGGGAGGCTGGTGCTGAGCGCAGCATGGCAGGGAAACACAGCTGCCTCCAGCCTCCATTCCTTAGTCCTGCTGGACTCAACAGCCCAAGGGCCTGGAGCTGGTGGGCTGACTGCACTGTATCCGCCTCAGCCACACAGGCACGCATGTGCTGTTGTGAGGCTTAACAGAAGGAATGCAAAATACATTTGTGACTCACAAATCAGAAGTAGAATTTTATATACATATATATTAATATAATATATAATTTTATTATATATATATTTGTGATTTTAAGGAAGAAAGTTGGGATTTCTGTGTGGCTCTGTGTAAGAACACAGGGTTACCCTGTGAAACAGCAGACCTTCATTCTTGGAGCCAGGTTTTTGGTTTAACTTGACTGCTTTCAAAATTTGTCAATTATCCCCCATCTAAGTTCCCAGATTGTTGAAAAGAGGAATCCCTCTACCATACAAGCCCGCCTAGCCCATGGGTCAGCTCTCTGCAGCCCAGGAAAGTGGCCACACTGACCTTGTGCAGCTTGATCATGCCCCTTGGCCAAGCGTCCCACGTTCTGAGACTCCAGGAAGCTGTCAGCAGACATTCTCAGGGCTGAGCAGCAATGGGACCTGGCTGTAATTAGCAGCAGTGCACGGGCACGGCCCAGACCCCTGCTCCCGGACTCAGTGGCTGAGGAAGAGGATGGCCAACAACAGCAGCAGGCATACTGAGTTCTGAATAGATGCCAGGCAGCTAGCAGGGGCTCAGCTGAAGCACTTCCCCTCCCAGTAACCTTAGTGGAGTGCCTGCGGTTTCTGCATTGTAGCTGAAGAAGCCCTAAGTACAGAGCGATGAAGTAGCATGTCCTGATCATGCTGTAATAGTTAAGCTCACAAAGCCCAAGGGGCCAGGCCAGCTGGGCTGGAGTGAGAGGCCTGAGCCAGAGCTGGTCGGTGGCCAGAGGCTCCCCAAGGCGGTTGCAGGTTGGGGAGCGGGGTGCTTTCCCCTTGGTGGTCCATGGCAGACTGGAGGTGTCCCAAGTGACTTTCTCATTAGCAGTCCATACAGAGATTTCCGCTCCAGAAGAGCAGAACGTCCTCCCCAGCCCCAGGCTTTGTTCTCGGAAAGCGTATCTGGGCCTGCTCGGCATGCTTAGCAGAGCAGAGGGGGAGACAGCGCAAGCAGCCAGTGTCTGCTCACGTCTTGGGGAGTTTTCAAAACAACCTTAAAAAGGACTCTTACAACACAACTATGGGAAACAGGAGGACCCCTGAGGGGTTCCACCAACCCCCGACCCTGCAGCAATAGGATCTCCAGTGAGAACTGAGTCTGATTTGGAAGTGAAGTCCTCAAGGATGGTCAGAAGGAAGGACCACAGGTGGGGAAATAGGTGGCAGTGTCTCAATGCTAGAGATTGGGATCTACCCCCAACATAAGAGCGACATCAATAGATGGCATGGAAGTCCACAGCAGGGTCAGGCTGCCGAGTCCCGCAGCCAGCTTTTCACATATCAGAAAAGTGGATTTGGCATCTTCTGTCAGTGGTCCCCGAGCTGGTGGCTCAGTTTCCTTGGCAGCGGACAGGACTGCCTGAAAGAGGCCAAGCTGATCTGAAGCCAGGAGCTCTTCTGGGTCTCCCATGCAGCTGCAGGGTCCCAAGGCTTCGGGCCATCCTCTACTGCTTTCCCAGGCCACAAGCAGGGAGCTAGATGGGAAGTGGAGCAGCCAGGACACAAACCAACACCCATGTGAGATCCTGGCACTGGTAAGATGAGGACTTAACCATTGAGCCACCACACTGGGACTCAGACCCCAAGTTCTAAGACAACTGTCCTTCGTCCTGGCTTCAGCTCAGCTCAGCTCCAACTGTAACAGCCATTTAGGAAGGGAACCAGTGGATGGAAGATCTTTCTCTGTGTTTACTACTTTCTGTAAATCTGCCTTTCCAATTAGAAAAAAGTCTGGTTCAAGTAGAATCCTTAAAAAGAACTTAGGGTTTAAATTCTGTCTCTGAAAACAACTACTCTGTACAGGTTTGGTCTCTTGTCTGTCATCTCTATTGACTGCACCTCTCCCTCATCTAGCCACCCCTAGTGGAGGGAATAGATATGCAGCTTCTTGTAAAGCCAAGGGCCGTTGGCCTGGTCCTGCCTGCGTAGCACCTGACCTCAGCATTCTTTCCATTTCAGGTCTCCGTGCTAGGATGCCCGGACCCTGCGGTGCACGAGATAGCCTATCAGTATGGAAAAAACGTGGGAATTGCTTTCCAGGTTGGTGCTCTGCTCCCTGTTGGTCATGGTGGCAGCATGCTGGTTCAGCTTCTCCCCCAGAGCATCCTCAGATGCTGCCTTTGACACGCCCCATCTGCCTCTCTAGCTGATTGATGACGTGCTGGATTTCACCTCGTGTGCCGACCAGATGGGCAAACCCACATCTGCAGATCTGAAGCTCGGCCTAGCCACTGGCCCGGTCCTCTTTGCTTGTCAGCAGGTAAGCCCTACAGTGAACTGCCTTCGACACGGGGCTGGATTGGGCCGAACCATGGACTCCCAGCCTGGCTGACAAGAAGGCTGGCTAAGGAAGAGCTGGGGAGCACTCAGGTCGGAGACCACGAAGGCAGACTGACCCCACCTCTGTGACTAAGCCACTGGAACTCAACATTTTAACTCTGTGCTCCTCTTCATCAGTGGTGCAGCCTTCTGCCCAGGGGTGTTTTCAGGATTAACGGAGAATGCTCACAGTCTTGGTAAACGGGGAGCCCTTGTATGCATGTAGGTAACATTGTGATTCACTCTGTTGTAGAGGCCCCAGCAGGGAGAATGGTCTCCACACCTTAACTACAGCAGCGAGGTCTGGCTGAGCCTGGGTCCTTCAAGACTCAGGCATGTGTCATACAAAATGGAAGGTCCATTCTCTGCAGTGAGACCAAGTCACCAGCCCCAACACAAAGAGAATGTAATTGCATGTGCCAAGTTCTGATTTAAAAAATCTGGGAAATTCTCTTCCATATATTGTTTTATACACATTATACACATAATATTCATCAGCCATGTAACATACATGTGTACATGAACCGGCTCCTCAGACATGGTTCATTTCATATAAATATATGAAGACTTTGGCTAAGCATGCTGGAATCCTGCTTGGTTGCGAGTCTCAATTAGCTGGGCTCTGAGGGGAGTAAGATAAGGAACAGGACTTTCCCTCAAGAGGCAACAGGCTTCTCAAAAGAGCTTTGGATGCTGTAGGCTTAGAAACGGTAATAATTACAGCTACTTCTCCTGGACCTCATGACACCGAGTTGTGTCCTCCTGGACCTGGAGAGGGCTGTCTGAGAGCTCCCTGTTCACTAGGAAGCTGCTTCTAAAAAACTTCCTTCCTCCCTCCAGATGTAAGGGGATCCAGAATGGGTGGGGGGAGTGCACCCACCCCCACCCACTGAGCTGACAGTGATCTGTGAGAAGGAAAAATACCATTTTTTGAAAGAATGTGGAGGGGGAAGGAAAAAGAACAAGCCAGAAGGTGCCAGTGCCCCGACCCACAGCTGCTTGTGTGCTTCCCTGGGAAACCCCGGTCACGAGGCACCCACTCACTGGCCAGACAGCACTTGTTCTCATCCGCTCATAAGGGAATGGGGGAGGGGAGTGCAGAGCTTCAGAAAAGGGAACACGAAGTGGCCCAGCAAGAAGTGACGCTGGACAGGACCTGTTTCACAAGTCCATGGGTTTGTCGGCCTTGTAAGACACAGGCCAGAGGTTAGTCAGCTGTATATTTACAGCTCATTTTCAGGTGAAACAGTAAGGCTCAGTCACGGATGACACTCTCATAAAGGGGTGTTATGAGTAAGACATTACCAAGAGTTAATGGGGCTCAGATTAATTTGGGACAAAGCAGAATCCAACAGTGGTATGAGAATATGCAGCATTGCCATTTAGTGAAACTACAGCTGGTCTACCAGGGATTCTTCTATGCGTTCTTTCTAATCCCACAACTCCTCTTTATATGGATGTTATGCTGTGTCTTACACAGTAAGAAACTGATGCTTAAGCCTAGCCAAAATTAAAAAAAAAAGACGGTGAGTGATCCTGAGGAACACAGTGGAGTAGACAGAACACTTCAGGACTCCGTGGTCCCTGCCGCTCGGTCCTGGTCGGACATCATGGCTGCCCCGACAACTGATGGGTAAGCCCCTGATGAGCGGGCACTGTGGCCTCAGAGCCGCCCACCAGCATACCCCGGACGCAGCACACAGAGCAGTGCCCAGGGGCCTGCAGTCCGTGGGCTTCCCCATCTGGGAACTTGGCTAACAGGGCCAGAACAGGAAGTCTTTGAGAAACCACCTTTTCCTTTGCACCTTTGCCCGGTGGGTTGTCTTGAGCTTGGCCCCTGCCAGACAGAAGCTCCTCTCCGGGACTCTGCATGAGTAACATCTCCCTGCAGGGGCTTTTGGAAAAACAGTTAGTAAAGGGGATTCATGGGAGATTTCAGCATTTCTGGAGTTTCCAGAGATGACAGGGTCCTTCCTCGTATGGACATGTGAAGACCAGAAATCTTGTATTAGATCCTTAAACAGACTGGATCCTGACATTTTATCAGAAACAGAACGTTTCGGGAAGTGTTCCTTTCCCTAATGAGACCAGTGAGTTTGCAAGTATCTTTAAAAAAAAGAAATTAAGAAATTGTTCTGTTTCTCAAATGATACATCAGTAGAGCTGAATGTCAGCCTGTAGCTATAGTTGCACCTGCCGTGGCCAGCCCCTGCACCAGCTGCCCGGCGTGTGCCAGCCAGTGACTACTTGGTGCCTTGCTTCCCCATGCTGTGTGGGGAAACTCGGTCTTTGGAGACTGACTTCACAGGCTCTAGAACCTGTCATCCTCACAGGGTTTTTCCAACTTGTAAAAACAGCCTGAGTAAACAAAAATCGCCTTATTCCTCACTCACTGTAGGCAGGCAGGCAGCTGCTGTGCCCTGTTGAGTTTCTCATTTAAGGGATAAAGCAGTACTCAAGGGAAGAATTTCATATCTGCATATGAAAACTGCAGACACTACATTTCCCTGCCCCCACAAAGGAAGGATGTAGTCACACTCAATGCAAATGTTTTCAAATTTTGCTTTCTCTGATGTCTTCTGTAGTTTCAATAAAGGAGAGCGCATTCAAAGAAACTACCTAATCAGCACATTTTACCACACTGGAGAAAAAAGCTTATACCTGTAAACAAGGAGATTTTACCAGGTGCCCAGAACAGAATCCCACCAGCTTTAAGGAGGTAGCTTTCTAGATCATCTAGTTTTACAGTATGAGATTTAAAAACTAGATCAAATGCCTATTCAATCGGGATGGGCTTAGCCCTCTCTCATTTGTTTCTTGTACAGCTTCAATTATTTAAATCTTTTATTAAAAGTATTTTATTATATTCTTGAAGATTGAGTTATTTTACTTGAAAGTCAGAGTAACAGAAAGAGAAGAGGGAGAGACAGAGATCTTCCATCCACTAGTTCAGTCCCCAAATGGCTGCAATGGTCAGAGTTGGGCTGGTTCAAAACTGAGAGCCAAGAGCCTCTCTGGGTCTCCCACGTAAGTGCAGGATCTCACAGACTTGTGCTTCCATCTGCTGCTTTCCCAAACCAGAGGCAGGCAGCCGGATCAGAAGTGAAACAGCCAGGACTCAACCAGCACTCATATCTGGGATGCCAGCACTGCAAGTGGAGAGCTAGCTGGTTATGCTGCCATACTCACCCCAATTATTTTCGTCTGAAAAGACCAGCTAGTAAAGCAAATGACTGTTTTTGCTCAAGAGCCAATTGGTTTCTGGCCATGGCATGTTCGCATCCTTTGTCCATTTAGAAGTTTGTTCAGATACATACTTCACTCTGAAAAAAACATTCTTACTTGTTCATCTGCATCATTTGGCTGAGGTTTTCCTGAGTGTGCCAAACTTTTTTTTTTCTAGAATTACTAATACCATGGCAACCCAGTCATTCCTCAAGCTGTCAGAAACTGGCAACCACTACCATCACTGACCACGCCCATGCCCAGAAGCATGTGACCTCTTACTTCAGGATGCCATGGGGTGATGTCAGCTCACACAGCTTGCTAACTGGTGGCCCAGGCAGGACTGGAGCTGGTATTTAGGAAGTAACAGGATTTTTTTCTCTCAGCTTCCTTCTGGCATTCTAAATAGCTGCTAGCTTGTGGAATGTAGATTTTGTTCTTCAGCAACTTTGCAGTTCTTTCTCCCTTTATGTCCATCAGTTTAATCTTGGTCAGTAACCTTGTGGTTACCTTTAATTCAATGGTTGTCAGCTTCAGCCTTACCTTACACTTGCTGGAGTTTTAGAAACCCCACTTTCCCAGCTCATCCTCAAGTACACCCCTGGAGGCAAGGTCCAAGCCACTATCTGGAATACTGTCCACCTGCTGCTCTACCAACAAGCACCTCAGTTCCAGTTCACTCTGCCCCAAGACCTGCCCAGGTCTTGCCTCAAGATGTCCGAGTGCCACCTTCCCTGCAGGCAGGCAGTACCCGAACATGTTTGTATCACCTGGTAGCAAGCACAGCCCCCACCTTACTGACCTGCAGGGCCAGGAGGGGATTACCGGTGAGTCTGACACCATCAGAAGTTCCAGAAATGCAAACGGAAGACAGCAGGATACTTGGGAGATGCCCTTTGTGCCTCCTGCAGGTCTCACCCCAGTCCTGGCCTGGGGACAGGTCGTTGGAGTGCACCTTCACTGTTTCTAGGCAGGCGCTGCCCATCTCAACTCAGCTGCTTTCCTGTTCCCTGTCCACCTTGACACAGGGTCACTTTGCTGGGTTTTGTGTATGTCCTATAGAATTAGGACACTGATTCTTCTACAACCAGTAACCCGGTTTTTCTTGCTGGTTAGTTTCCAGAAATGAATGCTATGATAATGAGACGGTTCAGTTTGCCAGGAGACGTGGACAGAGCTCGACAGTACGTACTACAGGTAGGACTATTTTAAATGACAAGACAACAGCAGGTATGTGGTGCAGTCCTTCAACCAATGTAATGTTAACCAAAGATTCAATCTCACTGACAAGACCAAATGTGATCAACCTATCTTTTTTATATTTGAGAAGCAGACAAGAGAGGGAGCGAGACGGCCAGTGTTGGCATGTTTCTTTCTCTCGTCTCAGTGCCCACAGTGAACTCCGGCTGGGACCAAGACCAGGACTAGGGAATTTAATTCAGGATTCCCACATGGGTGGCTGCCAAGATTCAAACTGCCACCCGTAAGGTCCAGTGCTGCAGGCCGTGCTTTTACTGCTATACAGTGATGCTGGACCCCAAATAAGTCTGAGCATATAAAAGCCACGTGTTAAGATGGGACTGAGGTGAGCAAAAGGCTAGCTGTTATGAAATACAATAGAGTTGCTGTATGTCTTCCCAGAAATACACTTACGAGGGCCCGGCGCGGTGGTGCAAGTGGTTAAGGTCCTCGCCTTGCACGCCCGGGATCCCATATAGGCGCTGGTTCTAATCCCGGGAGCCCCGCTTCCCTTCCAGCTCCCTGCTTGTGGTCCGGGAAAGCAGTCAAGGACGGCCCAAAGCTTTGGGACCCTGCACCCGCGTCGGAGACCCGGAAGAGGCTCCTGGCTTCAGATCGGCATAGTATCTGCCCGTTGCGCTCACTTGGGGAGTGGATCATCAGATGGAAGATCTTCCTCTCTGTCTCTCCTCTCTGTATATATCCGCCTTTCCAATAAAAATTGGTGACTTTTCTAAACAAGTCACCAAAGATCTTTAAGTTCTACCTAGCTGTATGGATGTGTCTATGTATGAATGAGCTCCTAGTGCCTCATCCGATACATCAATATAGAACTTAGGGTTACTAAAGAGCTGCTCAAAGCTTACAGAGCAAAATAGTGGACCAAAATGAACAGACCCATGAGACAGGTATTTGGCTTCATGGTTAGTTCAGATGCCCTTTTCCACTTTGCTTTTTTTTTTTTTAAATGATTCGGCTCTTCAGAAATTCTAAATAGTGATGGGAAATTAACTCCAAAGAAGGGCTAAAGTGTGAAAGCGAGGAAATGGAGAATTTAAGTAGGAAGGCCCAGCATTTAAAGCGTCATGTCAGGCCTGGCGGCTCAGCCCCACTGCTTCCTGTGACAATGTTGTTTTGAAACTATTAGTTGGGGGCCCGGCAGCGTGGCCTAGCGGCTAAAGTCCTCGCCTTGAACTCGCCAGGATCCCATATGGGCACCGGTTCTAGTCCCGGAAGCTCCACTTACCATCCAGCTCCCTGCTTGCGGCCTGGGAAACCAGTCAAGGATGGCCCCCAAAGCCTTGGGATCCTGTACCCGCGTGGGAGAACTGAAAATGTTCCTGGCTTCTGGCTCCTGGCTTTGGTTCGGCTCAGCTCCAGCCATTGTGATCACTTGGGGAGCGAATCATTGGACGGAAGATCTTCCTGTCTCTCCTCCTCTCTGTATATCTTTGTAATTAAAATAAATAAATCTTAAAAAAAAAAAAAAAAAAGAACAGAAAAGCCCCATGTCAGTGCCTGGGATTCACCCCCAACTCTGCAGTGGAATGCAAAGGCAGGAATTCTCCACACAGCAAGCCTGGGTTGAGCTTCCAGCCTTAGTAGGCCTTTGGGAATGTGGTCAGTCAGTGGGCAGTGGCCGCCCCCCACCGCTGGGGGGAGGGGGGGCAGGGTGTGTGTGGGTGTGTGTGTGTGGGGGGGGGTGTGTGGGTGTGTGGGTGTGTGGGTGTGTGGGTGTGTGTGTCCCCGTCCATGTCAGTGTTTGATGAGAGAACCGACAGGAGTATGTTCCTTCTCATAAACAAGATTCACATTTAAACAGGAAAAGGAAGAAAATGAAAGATAAGGAAAACTAGGAGGGTTGGTTCAATCATGTTATAAAGATTTATGTTGGTCGCAGCTGAACTCAACGTTCCTGTGACGGAGGCAGGCCTCCCCCGCACGGGCACAGCTGGGTTGTGTTCTGAGCAGCTGTTCCTCATCAGAGGCCTTTTCACCACAATGTTAGCGATACTCTAAAGCACTGAGGGATCCTGACCTGCACAGTTAGGCAGGTGGCTAAACTCTGATCCTCCGTAGTAACGGAAAGGCAACAGATAGTGAAAACCAAGAGGTGAAGCAGGTGCCTTGGAGAGATAGGGTCTGTAGATTTTCACTGTAAGCCTTTCTATCCTTTCATTGTATTATGCTTCCTGGTTGGGTTTTTTTTTTTTCATTCAGAGCATATATGTATACTTTATATACGTATTTTAAATATATATATACTTTATATATTGTGAAGCCTTGGTACTAAATGGCTATGATTTGTCTTGCAAATACAATAAAATTTTACATTCTTGGTAGAGGAAGTTAGACCTAAGAGATGATAAGAGAATGTTAGAAACACTCCGGCTATTGCTGTAAGACTAATCTGATCGCTCGCGCTCACCTATCACAAAAGTAAATTTTAATTCACTGGGACAGAGAGGTGAGAATGACAGTCTCTGACATGTGTTTTGCTTTGTTCCCTGCATACAGAGTGATGGTGTGCAGCAAACAACCTACCTCGCCCAGCGCTACTGCCATGAAGCCATCAGGGAGATCAGTAAACTTCGCCCATCCCCGGAAAGAGATGCCCTCATCCAGCTCTCGGAGATCGTGCTCACAAGAGAGAAATGATGACTCTCCCTGTTCCTGTGGCAGCTACCATACCAGACTGTGCCTAAAGTTGTTTGCTTCATGTGCAGATAACCAAAAATCATTTTAAAAACACTTTCCATTAACTTCTTGTTAATGGGTAGGGAATTTTTTTTTTTTATTGGCTAAGTTTTTAAAAAAAACTTTTTCTGTGTAATTAAATCATCTATGTCATTTTAGTCCTACTTGAGATATGTTGATGGTTATATGTGGTACTGTTTACATTGTTATTATCCACATGCAAAGCCATTACACAAATAAATAGTCAATGTTAAGATTCAAATGTTTTCTCTTATTTCGCCTTAGGAGTAACTATCAGTAAAATGTAAGGTGTGCATTTACAACCACATGATCTATATTTAACAGTATCCAAAGTTTCATATAGCAGAATGGTTTATTTATTATAAAAGACTGTACATAAAATTTAGACAACAGGTTATATACAAATTAAGAGAACATTCCACTTAAAAAAGGAACAGAACATAGCTAATCACTAATGATACCTTAAAATTAACAAAGAAAAGCAAAATGTATATGAAACAGTCACATTGATTTGGTAGAAATAATGGTCTTTAATTTTCAGAAGTAAATGTTTGCACTAGGCTTACCATTCGCTATGCTGCTGTATGTCTGTAACGCCCAATACATAACTGTAATTTGAAATCCAAACAAATCTTCAATACACAGAAACCCACACTTGAGTGCTCTACTTTAATACCCTAAGCAATACAGAATTATACACAAGAAAACATCCCTCTAACCCTCGCTTAAATTAAGAGGAGACACACAAAGTGCATGTGTTGCATTTCAATTATGTCAAAGGACAATACAAATCTGTTGGTTAAGTATATCTCTGTTTACTGAATAATACATTACCCACTTTTTCCCCAGTTACTGTATTTTAAAATCTTAGGTTGCTAGTGCCAGGTAATGGATTCCAGAGTGCCTATCCACAAATCAATCACATCTACTTTTACAATGTGTAAAGATACTTGGAATTTCCTTCCATTGAACCAGTGTACAACAGTCCACTATGAAAGTAAAGGAAAGGTATGGCAATCCTTCAGAATTCTGCTTACAGAATGAATGTGTACACCTTGACACATTTTCATAGCTTCAACAGTCACTTTAAAAAAGAAATTCAGTAGACTGACTTGTAAATAATCACCTCAGATTTTAAATCTGCAGAAAATCCATCACATTGCTGTTGGGACAGATTAAGGCTAAATTTTTTCTCCAAGTTAATACGTTGAGAAAATAGAACCATAATTCTATAATAAATCAGTATCTTTTTTTTTTTAAAGTAAGCCAGTGAAGAAAAGGACAAAAACCTTTGGTTCACTTATATATTTATGAATGGGAAAAATTTATAGTTCAAATCTCATTCATTAAAAAACTTAGTATAAATTACAACATTATAGATTAGCCTTGTTTCACATGGAGAACTTAAGAGATTCAATTCATTTCAGGAGACCTAAGTGAATATTCCAGGAAAACAGTACACAAATTGGAAGCCTCTTGGAATTTTTCAATATTTTTCAACACAGTAATTTTTATGCATGCTTGAACACTATGTTTTAAAATGAGAGGATCTGAATAAAAAAGTATGACCAGCACCAGCAATTAAATTTTCTGATTTTAATATTAGTCTGACATAGCATTAGTAACCATGCTCACTGAAACATTTAATGATACAATCTGAATCATAATTCATTAAATATTATACCCCACTTCCCCAGAATATTTAGGCTGGTCATAAAGTTAACTTTGTGTAAGTAAGTATGTAAGCATAATCAGCGACAGCTTCTTGTATAAATTGCCGTGTAGCAATACGCAAACTGCCTCAGATTTATGCTTACAGGTAGACATTCAATTATACCAATAAAACAGCATTTCCCAAAAATATGGGCACATTTTAAAACATTAAGACAATTCTGTTAACCATAATAGTCCCACAATAAGACTGAGTAACAAGAACCTACTTTAAAAGCAAAAACTTAATCAGCATAGTGCATGATTGATTCAACATAGTTCCCCGGAAACAGGCCAGTCACTCGATTGCAGACTCCTTCATACCAGCCGTCGTCATTCTTCTTTATAACATAAATGATTGCACCTTCCATAAAGGACAGCTCGTCATCCTTGTCTTTTGTATAATCATATATTGCAACAACTAGAGTAAAAGAAAGCAGCATGTGAGTGCACTCTAAGCAATATACACTTGAATTTTGAAATTTCATGCCAGTAATATCTATAACATAGCAAAACCAACTACTGCATGGAGACTAATTCCCATTTTTTTCAGTAAAGGCCAACAATATGCCTCAATGACTAGCTTGTTCTTAAGGCCAGGCACTTTGATTAGAGGAAAGACATCTAAATCTTCCACCAATCCTTTTAAAGAAAGATCTCTGGGTTTTGGGATTTACTGAATGTTTTCTTTCTTTTGCTCACGTATCTACAAAGTGCCTCTATCATACACACAAAGCACCATTTCTGACAGTTAATCTTTATTGGGCAAAGCTGAATAGCTAAAAATGAACCAGGTAACAAAAACCAACTAATCTGAAAATACACATTTACTGGGAGGCAAATTTCATTATACTCATCAAAGGATCCATGAGACACAAAGATCTTCCTTCCACTGATTCACTCCCCAAGTGGCTACATCGGCCGGAGCCAGGAGCCTGGAACCAGGAATCTCTTCCATGTCTCCCATGCAAGTGCTGGGTCCCAAGGCTTTGGGCCAAGCTGGATGGGAAGTGGGGCTGCTGGGATTAGAACCAGCATGCCCATGTGGGATCCCAGCGCGTGCAAGGCAAGGGCTTTAGCCGCTAGGCTGTTGTGTCAGGTTTGGATTTATTTATTTTAAAAATAAAATTTTGGGCCCGGCGCGGTGGTGCAAGTGGTTAAGGTCCTCGCCTAGCATGCCCGGGATCCCATATGGGTGCTGGTTCTAATCCCGGCAGCCCCGCTTCCCTTCCAGCTCCCTGCCTGTGGCCTGGGAAAGCAGTCGAGGACGTCCTAAAGCTTTGGGAACCTACACCCTGTGGGAGACCCAGAAGAGGCTCCTGGCTTCAGATCGGCATAGTATCGGCCCGTTGCGCTCACTTGGGGAGTGAATCATTGGAGGAAGATCTTCCTCTCTGTCTCTCCTCTCTATATATATCCGCCTTTCCAATGAAAAAATAATAAAAATAAATCTTTAAAAAAAAAATTTTTTTTAAAGCGCAAATAGGTAAGCAAAGATCCATTAAGACTTAAAAGGACTTTCTGTAATTCTGTATATCTGTAATTGAGTTCAAAATACTAACTTCCTTTATAAAAACAGGCAATCTATAAATATGTTTTGTATTAAAGTTTATGAATTTAATTATTCTCCCCCTTCAGCTCATCTTTATATTTGATAATTCTGAAATTCTATATAATTGCCTACTGTGTGTGAAATGTAGAGGTCATTTTTTTCTGAAAGAGTTTAAGATATTCTGGACTTTGCAGTAGGAAAGATGGCCTCTCCCCATTACTGTTCTGAATTAGAGACTTACAGTAAGGAGAGCTTTGAAGAACTGACCTGAACTCATCACGAGTTAGGCTGACATGTCACTCTTTACCACTTTGTAAAGTATTAATGCAAGCAGACCCAATCAATCCACTCCCCTCCATTTTAATCCTGCAATGGAGTCATTGCAGAAACAGAATAAATACTAAATAATCATCCTAGAGTTACTTTTGGCCAAAAAAACCACTTAAGAAAATCAATAGGGTAATAATGTCAAGAAAGCAATGGAATAAAAGTCTACTGAAGTCTTAATTTATCAGTAATTATGTATTATCATAGGTAACATCTGTCTTTTAGTCCTCAGTCAGAGGGGGTTCTGAGTAGTGTAGATTAGATGACATGACATGGATACCCTTCAGGCTTTCTGTAGAACCAATATTGATTCCTCATGTTCTTAATTCCACTTACACAAAGAATAGGTAAATTGACACTATTTAGCCAGAATAATCATGTTTCTGTTTTCCAGTTCCCAATTTGTAAATGAAACCTAATTTCACTCAGCCCCTCCTGCCTGAACGTTCACATGCTAAGTATTTAACCATAACAACTGGCTGTCTTTTCTACTCTCCAGGAACTTAATGCAGATAAAGAATCAAACACTCCTTCCTATGTGCGTTATCCATCTCAAAGTTTGATTCTGTAATCCTGCTTCTACTTGACAAACATTTAAGGAGCTATCAGATTCCTGTGAAATCTTCTTGTCCCCAACTTAGAAGAACAATGCTTTCAGCTTTTTCAGACCAATCCCATTTTCTAAGTACTTCAAGTATCTTGATTATCCTCTGAAGGCATTTCTGTTTACAAAATCTTGAAATTACACAAAACTAGACATAATACCAGCCTTAAAATAATTTTTTAAAGTACAATCAATTTGGCACATAGCAGGTTGAAGTTCAGCTGATTTTTTGTAAAAATGGCTTTTAGCAGTCATTTAATAGATACTTGATACATAAACTTAAATTCAATTATACCACCAGCATTTATTCACATTGTGATTATAAAGGTAACAAAAAGGTTTCAAATATAACTGTACTAAATTGCACTTAATCTCAAAGTTTTAGTTATACTACAGGTCAAATATAGGCCTATTATTGGGGGTAAGGGGGAGGAATGCTGTTATAGTAGCTGTGACAGACCAGACAGCCGGCAGAGTGAAATGCTTACTACCTGCACAAAAATAATATGCTGGCCTCTGCTATAGGACCCATTAGCTCCAGCTGTGAAGGCAAATCTTTTAATCCTGCTCAACTACCAAGTGTATTAAATGTGTCTTTCCAAATCTGTGACCTGTCACAGTTATTCCAGAGAATGCTTTACAATGTGAGAAAACATGGGTACAAATACAATTCAAGACTTGTAAAGTATGCCATCCTCATATTAATATTTTAGCATATGGGAATCTAAATATAAAGAAAAATTGTCAAATTAACTTTAGCATCAAAATATTTACTGTTCAAAAGTATAAAAAAAAATAAATTTACTTTGGAAAGGAAATCAGTTAAGGAAATGACACCCATAAAAAAGCAATTTGTTTC